AATACTGTCATCGACAAATTAAAACCCCAATTTCAACACACGGTCAAACTTTTAGACATAGTTACCGTATTTTACCTGAACCATTTTGACCGATACAATACAAATTGAGAAACCGTTGATGAAAGTTAATAATTACGAAAATTTTACATTACAATGACCGAAACATTTATAAAATTAGAGATTCCTACATGTGTCTTCTACAAGTATTACAATTTTAGATACCTATATCTATTATTAAATAGCAATATGTTATATACGCTATTGTAGTTTATATTCAAAATTTAAAAAGTGAATGCAATCTCTGATCATTATCATTTACATATTGTAATTGTCATTCCATCTTTATAGCTTATTTCGTATTAATTATATGTACTACGTATGCATAAGCTATGAAACTAATTCCTGTCACTTTCATCTGTTTAGTCAATAAAGAACCTATTTTTAACTGACTTAAGAAATATTAGAAAACACCGATTTGAGTACTTAATCTTTTTTGTCATTTTAAAAGATGAGGTTTCGCCTATTTTTTTTTTGTTATTACTCTTTTTTTTAATATTACTCAATATCATAACAACTTAAAATTCTCTGTGATTATATTATTTCCATGCTAGCGTAGCAAAATCTTATTTGATCTGTCATTCAATTATTAATATTTAATTATCAAAGAATTAACACATTTACGATTCTCGGCTGTTATAGAGGTATAACGATAACGATAAACTTCTATTGTGATTCGTTTATTGTATGTGGACGTGTTAATAAAAGAATTATTCTACATAACTTGTTCATTTTATTATCCATAAAAGTGAATATGGCATTTAATATAAGATATAATTATACGGATACTATAATTCAATATGCGGATAATAAAATAATCTATTATTTTAATAACACAAAGCTTCAAATCAAATATCTCTCATGTTGTTTAACATTTGCTAATACTATTATCAAACAATGAATCGAAATTAATCACATAATAGGCGATATTGTTAGTCAGCACAATGAATATCAAATATTATAATAGGCTTAATTAGAATATAATAAGGTGGTGGCTTATAGAGTTTCTATTGTTATGAAATATATAATAAATATAGAAGGATATTGATATGTTAATTACATTACAATAAAAACATTACAAGCTATATTCTTCTACTTCTTTTTTGTCTGTACCTGTCTATTTACAGTCGGTTCTTCACCTACACATGCACCAAAAGGGGAAGGAATTATTAGTAATAAGAAGATTAATTTCTATTGGTATAGATATACCAATAGAGTATGAGGTGTGAGGTCGACTTCCACGTGGTTCCCCCTGAAAACTATCATGACTAATTTATCGTTGAATTTGTCACGATGGGCTAACTGACCTACCTTTTCATCCTCAGCTATCACCTCTCACTGGTACCCCGCCAGTGTATACAAATAACGCAAGCGGGGCTACCATGCCATTTTCACCTACTAAAAAAAACTCATGCACTAGTCTATTAATTGTAAAGATTATATCTCTATCTATCTGCTAAGCCTGTACTCTGGTTTGCAGGTATTTAACCAATTTTAATGAAGTTTATATGCAATTAATTACCTCTTATAGTTAAAAAGAACTACTTTCGTCTCGTCCTTTAAAACCACCTCCGAAGAACTCGGCTTTGTCTCGTTGTCAGTAGACCGTCAATTGATTTACTTTCGGCGGCGACAGTAATGTAATAAATAAATAATTACAATTGTTGTTTAATTGTAATTTTCAAAAAGTATTATTTTTAAATAACAATATTAATAATGATAGTAAATGATTACTACTTATTCCGATTATTATTTTGATGATTCAATAATTTAAAACTTACAAAATATGATTTGGAATCAGTTCAATCGTATTTGATAACAAAAATAAAACAAATTGAGTGTTTAATTTCAGTTAGATAAACAGGTATTAAAGAACTTTTTAAAATATACAAATTTCGCATGCTTCAGTAATTATAGAACATTTTTGCGTTATCGTCGAGTTCTAATTTTCAACATTTTCTTGTAAATTCCGAAATTCAAATGTTTCATCTTCAGTTCGCAATTCATAACTTTCCTTTCAAGTTATCCAGACCGTCTTATACAATTTTATAAACTTAAATATTATATGTAAAATTAATATTTCATGTACCTATAATATTTTACCGACATATTCTCAGTATTTACCTTTGATTACGACATGTATTAAAATTTTGTTTTACATTAAAAAATACCTAAATTTAGAAACGCGCAGCACACCCAATATAATAGGAAGTTGAAGTAAACGTTTCTGGGAACAGCTGTGTAACCCTATCATGTGTGTACATAATATGCTCTGCTGCATATATACCCAAGACCCGGGCTACAAACCGTAAAACTTCATTGTTTTTGGTGTTACTATTATAGTTTCGCTACATCCTATTAATATCATAAAATATGTATATAAAGAAACAGGTGTTTATCACTCATAATTATTTTTTATTATAACTTGAGTCTTTCATTGTCGACTGCTGAACATAAGCCTTCCCCAAAAGAGGAATTTTGCCAGTAGTTGTCACGCTTGACAAGTAAAAGCTACGGATGCCAACCATGGTACTTTTTTACAGATGTTTTAAGAGAGACGCTACTGCCCATCCCTCCACCATAAGCTTCCTTAGTCGCCTCTTACGACACCCGCGGGAAAGGAAGGGGTGGCCCATTCTATGCCGGGACCGACACGACATTATTACATAATTTTATTCAATTCTGTCCAATAATTTTAGTATGTTATGAAACATACTAAAATTATTGGACAGAATTAAGTAAAATTTGGTATAAAGAGTAAATTGTATTAGTTTAAATTACCGACGAATTAGTTTATTCCCCAATCAAAGTAATCCAACTTTCATCATCATTAATAGTATTCCAGATGTTTACTATAAAATGTTCATTTATTTGTATATTTTACGAACAAGTAATTGATATAGGTATACATTTATGTAACGGCCGTGCATTCGTATGAGTCTAGAATATATAAATAATTCATCTAAATCCCGTCCGAGCTTACAGAGCGAATGGCAAAAATCGCTTTACGGGTGTGAGAGCTGGTGGACGAGCGAGGCGACGCGCGATTCCCCGTTGATATAACGCACCACAGGCGGCGGTGTAGCGCAAACAAATTGGATGCTTAAAATTCAATTTGAAGGTTTCGCGGTCCGCTTCATTCGCTCGACCCGTTCGTTACAAGCTGGACTTCCACATATCCAAACAGAAACGCAATTATTTTGCCGTAACTTGAAAATGTTTAAATGTTTATGGTTGGCAAGTGCTGCACTTGTTTAGGTAATGGAAGTTGGTTTATTTCCATCACAATGAATTTTTAAATGTAATACGTTTAGGGACGCATTAATCATAGTACTTCGCTTAGTAGTCGCTTACCGTAAATCTACTGATCTGTGTGTGTGTGTGTGTGTGTGTGTGTGTGTGTGTGTGTGTGTATATATAGTGATATGTGTTAAGAGTTATAATTAATTCGATGCTCCATATTAACCTATTTATAGGTCGAACACTAACAGTCTTGTTATAGAAAGTATAAAACTGCAAAACAAGAGTTTAAAATAAAGCGAAGATTGTGGAGTTGTACTGTAAAGAAGAATTTGAAGTTGAATAACTAGTGGGCAAAGTTTTCCATCCTCAGGCATACGAAACTTTTACGAATAAATTTAAGTTTTCTCATGCTGAAAATTGATGAATATTACCATGAATTTGAGAATTATACTATTTACATTACAATAGAGTCTACAGGTAAGCCTCGGTTTAACCTGGATTAAAATAACTGAATAATAATTTTCAATAGGAATTTACTTTCGTCAAAGAGTAAAATATTGTTTCATATATTTTGTATCATATTAGTTTTACTCGCAACTTCATCCATGTAACTTGGATATGTTAATTAACTGAGATTAAAATTAGGATATTTCCTTCTCTATCCCACATAATATATGTATATATCAAATTGTAATCATACAATCATCAGATTAATTAAGATGATTATAAACAAACCCACTTTCATACAATATTAGTAATAATAACACAATTATATTGGTAATGTAACACGTAGATACTGTGTATAATAAAGGGTGGACGAAGGAAAACTTAAGAAAGAAAATACCATAGAGATACACTTAAACTATGTAGTTGATGTTCAGTCTTACAGTGCTTTGTAGAAGTTTTCTAATTCTGTATTCTTTTCGTAAACTTTTCCAATATTGTCAACATAACAAACTTACATGCTACTTACCTAATCTGACACAACGAAGCACCAGAGACTATGAACTTTTCTTAAGATTAACTAATTTATTCATATTTTAGTGACAACCTCAATTTCTAAAAGTTTAATTAAAATATATTCATACTAGTGGCGGCCATAACTACGTTCGTCTTGACTTATAATCTTAATATAATATTACAAAATTATACTAAACTGTTTGTTCCACAAAAACAATCGCCTTCAATCGTGGCAAAACCTAACTTGATGTAAAATTTAAAAACTGAAAAGATTTTGATAAATTTTTTAAATTACCAATATTAAAGTATATCAAAGTACCTTTTAGATAGTACAGAATTTCCAAATCAGTTTATTAAAAATAGCGTTCTGAGGTAACAAACATAAAAAGAAATACTACCGAGTTGAGAATCTCCTTCTTTTATGTCGGTTAAAAACTATCGGTTGATAAAAAAAGTATCCTTGAGTACTTACAATAAACATAATTACCCAAACAACTCTTTAACATTATCGTAGGTGACATAACTCAATTTATTTGTAAGAACAGTTTGCAGAAACTGACAAGATTCCTTCTAGCTAAACTAAATAGATTTAATTGAAGGCAAAATACAAATAGGCGTACATGCACCAACTATTGATTGTAAACCGCAGGCATAGTGTCTCTATTTTTTCATGTACATCAAGCTGACCAGACCGCTGAGTGGTTAAACAAGTAGCGCACCACCATCAATATATAAGCAAGATGATAGTGCTACTCACCTGCCACCAGAGGATATTTCCATCGCCTCTCAGCCTACGTGGGCAATCCATCAAAAGTAAGCACACAGTACGTTACCTAGGAGTCGAGATGCACCGGCCGCTACGGATCACGCCGCTAGTCGACTACGCGGTCACAGGCGAAGACTGCGCGTGCCATGTTGCGACTGGTTTTACTAAAGATAAGCTATCGCTGGGAACGAAAGCCATCTTATACAAGACCTACATTCATTCACGGATCACATATGCCTCCCCTGTTTGTTGTGCACTGTGTTCGGCAATACAGCGGCGGAGAATGCAGGTTCAGCAGAACATCGCCCTACGTCTGTTTGCAGATACGGAACGTTACATTCATAATGACGGTATCGCCCAATTTTTCGGGGTCCCGTCGCTGGAGGACTTTGTTCGCCAGCTAGCACGTTCCATGTTCAACCGAGCGGACGACGGCTATCACTCCCACCTGAGGGATCTAAACCCATTCAACACATGTCCACATGTTGCAATGCCCGCTCTTCCTGTATGTAGCCTACTACGTGTACATACAGGACAACGGTTAACCGGCCCCGCGACGACTTGATGACATTCTTCATACTGTTTTCATACACTTTCCCCACAGCTGGTCCTATTTTATAATGGCACAGATCTAACACATTGGGCTTAAATGATTGACGCGAGGGCGGCAGACTTTTGTAGAATACCCGGGCAAAGAGTTATTAACTCGAGGCCCGCACCTGTACCGCATAAGGGCTAGCAAATGACCCTCTGTCTGTATAAACACATCAAATATGAGGCGTTAACATTACATAAGATACTTTTTATGCCGCTATCTACTTGATATGTTTATTGTTCACTTATGGGTTTCCACATATAATATGACACTTAATTAAAGAACACCGTAATAAAATGCAAAGAATATATACATGAAAATTGTTAAAATAAAATGGGCACCAATATTAATGGTCATTTAACTCTGATACGTTACTTTGAAATATATTTTTTTATTAATATATGTAAAGATGCAGATAAAAAATCACACTGAAAAACTATTTAATTCTTTTTTTATAATGTTCAAACATTCCGGTATTTTTAATATTTTTTGAAATATTATAGTAACAAAGTAACCATGATAATGATTACTTTAAGGTAGTTTTCTATTTAAAATATATAATATGTCTGTTTTTTATACACAACATAGAAACAAGCTTATTTTGAAATATACAAAATCATAAGTACAGTCATTGCTTTCTTTACAGCAGCAGCTCTCTACTGGACGTTAATGGTCACATACCCGACGCCCCAGAAATGGATGTTTATACGGTTGTTATTATTATTATATTTTTATTGTTATCTTCCTATATTTATCTGAATAAGTGGGCAATATTTTCTGTTGTAAGTATTCAACTCGGTCTTTTTATGATTTTCGTAGCAAATTAACTGTTCATTGCTGCTATTCAGTCGACATAAACCTCAATGTAATTTTCTACTTATTATTACAAAGACACCATACAAGTAAATCATCATAATATACTATGCTTATCACTATAGTTTTCTTGTATCTTTTAAAGACATGTTTCGCAGTCTGATATAACTTTGAAAAAGGACATAGAACCCAGCAGAATGAGAACATGAATGGCTTTAGAAGGAAATTGGAAGAAGAGATAGATGGATTGTGGGTATATAAAGGACGATATGCGTAAAAGGAAAGCGAATACTGTGGGGAACGAAATAAAGGCCTATCGTGCCCATCGTAAATTACGACGCAAAGTTCAAAACATAGGATATGATGATGTAAATATTTAGATGCTTTTTAGCATTAAATATTTTATAAATACAGTTCGATTATAAAAATTATATAAAAATAATAGATAATTTAATTGTTAAACAACTGATCCTATATTATAAAGTACAATACCTCATAATCTCTATAGATACTTCTAGTTTTTATTTTATTATTTGATAAAGCATTTATTCGACTTTAAAGTGTAAATTAATCGGTATCTGTTATATTAAAAAAAAGGTAAAAGCATTTGTTTAATATTTTATATAACACACTTTCTACTGATAATTTTTTACTGGGCAATAAAAGATTAGAATGAAATACAACACGAACTTGGCAGTAAGGTAGATAGGTGCTTATTCTTAATTCATTGGACGACTCGACACTTTTTTTTAATTACAAGTGGAATTTAGGCTTTTGACGACAATGATAATATGCGTATCCATGCTTACTAATACAATTATATTTAGACAATGTCTGTATATGGGAGATCTTTAAAAAAAATTAATACCAGGAGTCTTAAAAGATCAATAAAAGCAAAAACAATAATTTTAGAAATTTTGTCTGTCTGCTTATTACATGCAAAAACTGCTACACCAAATTAGATGGGGTTTTCACATATATATATTTTGTCTTAATTCGCTATCTAGAAATAGTATATTTCATTGAATTTCCTAATTCTGAAATCCACGCGTATGAAATAACGGGCAAAAAGCTAGTAATTACTAAATTAACTTTGACTTGGTAAATAAAAAATCTTTTAATTTCAATTCTTTATTCGACACCATATTTTATGCACTCCATTTAAATACCAATTGTAACAAAATGTTTGATTTCGATTATTTGTTATCTGTTACAGTCTCTAAACATTTCCACAAACATAAGAGTTGTTCCAAGAATTAGTACATGTTTTTATGTAATAATAACGTAAAGTTTCTTTCAAATTTAAAATAAGAAGAGATAATTTTTGTTAGATATACAAATTCCAAGAAAAACTTTTGATATAAGAAGCGTTCACTGTATCTAAAATGTAAATTAGAATTATGACAATGTAAAAGAGCCCTTAAGAGAGAGAGATGACTAGTCCATAATTTATATTGTGGAATTACACAACTATGACTCGTCAAAATTCGTCAAGTCAGTTAGAAAAAGATTCTTGTGTTTGTTTTTAAATTTAAAAATAATTCAATGAATAAATTATCTGAAACAACATGCATATTGTTTCCACATTCCAACAATAAAATGTAACAGTATATAATGAAAACCTTTCTAACAGTCTATAAAAAACACGAATACAATTAACTATAATAAATTATCGACAACATATACTTTAACAATTCCTCTGAGGAAGATAAATTTATGGTTACACTAAAATATATAAAATTCTATACATATTTATCAGAAAGACAAAAGATGTGCCCATGCGGAGGGTTAACTGCACTCAATCATCTTGTATGGATACAATAGACCCATGGGAAAAACGAATCTTATACATTCTCCAAGCAAATTATGTGTTAAACGCCTTTCTATTACAATAAATTACATTTATTTTACAGTATTTTTTGTCATTTCTATGTTTATATAGGTATGAATATTATTATTCTTCCAATCGAATTTAAATAATATAATATAATTTAAATTTTTCTAATAAAAACAGAATACAGAATTTAATTTCATTTCGATTAAACGACTTAAAACTAGGATAATCTAATAAAATCAACAAGAATATTAATTACAAATTTAAAAGTATTGTGTATGCAATAGCAAATTATGTTGCATATTACATTTTTCTATTACGATATTCCAATATAGAAAAAGTAAAAAGATATACAAACGGTTCTCCAGATTTATAAAGTTTTGAAATAAAATACCTATCTTGATCTGTTAAAGACAGAGCTTTTACTATAATATTAAGTTACTATTCAATAGTTACGTCTAACAGAAATGCAGATTATAAAGTTATGTATATTTCAATTCCACTAGACTCACAACTATTAACTACTTCTTGATCTGTTATTAACAAATACTGCTGCAAATTTTTACGCAGCGAACATTTTGTCACAATATGGATAATGGCTTTATTATTTAATTATTAATCACTCATCATTAGTTAATCGTCATCAATTCCTGTGAAGATAAAATATGGACGAGTACGCAAAGATTGGAGTTTTTTATTAGTCGACGAACATTTTATAAGTATCCTTCTAAAACTGCTAATATCTAGAAAACTAAATATACAACTAAAAAAACTACAAATAATAAAATATTAAAAGAGTAGAATAAAATATATTATCATACACAAATTAAAACAATATCGTTTTATACGAAATAAAGTAATGAACATTTTTTTTATTAAATATGACATAATTCTGTATACTACATTATTACACTCTGCACCTAGTTATTTAAACAAGGATGATGTGTTTTCTTATAGATAAACAATAAATCTTAAAAGGGACGTTAGTTATTTTCAATACGGCTTTTTATTATTACATCAATATAGATATTTAGTATTAATGGCTTATGTATTTATTATTCAACAAAATATATAACTGTCTACAATATTCTTTCAGAAATGTCTCTGTTTAGTTTATTAAGGTTAACCTTAGTACGTAAATGAATATAATGGTGTTATAAATGTCAATGTTGTATAAATTCTGATTAAGATTTATCTTCTCTTCTAGAATTCATTGAGTTTTATTAATTCATTCACAATCAAAACAATTAATATTAAAATTTTAATTAACTTATCAAATTGCGAAACAATGAGAAAATAATTTTGTTAAGGATATATTATATAATTATAGGTATAGAGAATTGTTGGTCTATTACCCTGATTACCTTTTAATTTAAAATGTATTTAATCATCAACTATTTCGTATTACTTTTTGTTTGACAAGAATAAAAATAAACAATTTACTTTCAAATAGGTACTCGTCCATTTAGTAATTAATTTTTAATATTTACTTATCAAAAACTACTCAAAATTAATACAACTCACTTAAATTAACTATACAAAAAATTACAACATACACGATTAATATATTTATCTTAACTTACGTAGGTACCAGAAACGTTCGTTTTGATAAAATTATGTACAATTAACGTAGATCTGTACTTAGTCTTTTGTCACTAAATTATTGTTATATTCACATTTATTAAATATGTTCACATGAACCTACAATTCCTTCATTCTACGTTCGAAGGTTGGAACAAAATAATATTGGTTAACATGTTGTATAATATATGTACAATAAAAAAAATGGTCATTCATATTTTATAGTAAGTGCCTACTAATTTATAGATAAGTATTATAAAATACAAGACCATACTGATTTGTAGTCACTATAAATTAAGCAACACGAAAGTCTCAAAATTGTTATTATTGTGAAAGTTTGTGATGGCATTTGATTAGTTATTCATTCACACGTTAAATGCTGAACAGATTTGAACTAAATTTGACACACAAATAAACTAGGACACCGCTTAATTTACGAACGAAAACCACTTATTGTAAGTTACGGGCATTATTAGTAAAAAGAAAAATAAAATCTCTTGCAATTTAATTTTATATTTATTTTGAGACATTATTCTTTATTAACTTCAATTGTGTAATTAATTAATTGACTGTAATTCGAGTAAACATAATATTTAATGTCATTTTTGTTAAGGATGATTAAATTAAAACTCGAGATAATCCGCTCAATTAGATGGCTGTCGTTGTCAGGTAGTGGCGTAACCGCAACAGCGTCCCGCGGGGTGTCGTGTCGTCGGCGACGCATAACAACACTAAAAGGTACGAAGTCAAATTAAAGTACCGTACTAAATTTATCTGGCTCATATAATTCATCCAGTTAATTGCGTTTAATATTTAAATAATAAATATTTTCACCAAATATTAGCGAGTCATTCAAACGAAGACGTTTCGTATATACTTCGTTGCGTATATATATATATAAAAGTATGTATATATATATATATATATATATATATATATATATATATATATATATATATATATATATATATATATATATATATATATATATATTAGGTACATAGAAGTATAAGTATATACATGTCTTGTTTTATAATAGAACTGGTGTATTTGGTACTTCGTAATACCTTATACTACCCTTAGAACGTAACCAATACCAAGTAAGCGGTCACGTTATCCCTTATTAATATATTCCAACAACTTCGAACTCATGGCAAATAGAGCGGAAAAGTGAAGACGTGTTTACATACATTCAGTCCTATTACAGCCATAGATTGAATATAAGGCCGAGAAGTCACATACGCCTTAAAATTCGCTGTACGCACTGTTTACATTAATTTTTATGTACACATATTATCATCATATATTGTTTAAACATACGATACTGATTTATATACATTAGATTTTTTAAAGATCACAATTTTGTCCGTTTATTCACAACAATTTCGGCGGGGTCCAGAAACTCTCATACAGATATTTCTTGTATTTGCACTCTTTTCTTCATGATGCCTGGGGGTGCAGGCGCAGTGGTAGCTGGCGGAACACGCAGTATACCTGATCCGCTCGCACAACCTGATTCCGAATCACCATTACAATCAGAAGCCGTTTCGCATTCCGAGGCAGGGCCAAATTTCACTTGCGTCGAACTATCGACAACTCGAGGTTCAAAAGTACTAGTTCGCCCCACTGGGTCCTGTGGTGGCCGTCCCTCCACTTTTTGAATATCTGGTTTTAGCGTATCTATACACACTACACTACCGGCCTCTATCGCACTACCCACACTAACATCTGGCAGCGAGCTACGCGCCGCACGATGTTTCTCGTCATAACAACTATATTCCCCGAAAGTTGGCTCCCCACAATCCGACAACGTCCGCAGATCGAACTTGGAGCCAGAGCCCCGCGGCACATGAGCCGATTTGCACTCAAAACCAAATCCTTTCCCGTCGAACGCACGCACTTCATAATCTAATTTCCCATCGTAATTGTCTGACGAAGATGAACTTCCTGCTTCGGCGAGATCGTCTTTTGAGCGTCGAGGGCGTGTTCCTCTTTGATGGTAAATACCAGCGAATATGAGAACATTCAGAAGCAGCAGAAAGCAACCCACTGCAATAGTGACAGTAAGAGCTGCAGTGTAAGATTGGTAATGTGACGATGCCAACCGTCGCAAGAGTGCATCGTCTGCTTGTACGGGTGTAGCAGTTGTGTTCGGTGGGCATTCCGTTGATGGGACTGGTGGCGCAGGAGATGGTCTGGGTACAGATGATCGGGGTGGTGGTGTGCTACGATTGCCGTCGGAACCTCGGGTATTATCAATATTAACGACGTGAGGAACGTGCGCCCTCGACATCGACTGAGGTCTCACCGCACCTGTTATTGTAATGAATGATTAAATTATAAATAACCCATAGACAAAGATATACGAAAAATATGTATAAAAAAAATTGTACCTTCGTAGTAGTCAGCATTGTTGTTTTGAAAGTGGTGATGGCGCATTGCCGCGTCAGGCATGTCGGAACCGGGCCGATGTAGTTGCGGTATAAGAGACAACCACAAAGACATCTTGTGGCCACGGTAGTGGCTTCGCATTTCGGGTTTGCTACCTGTGACCCCAGATAACAAACACAAATTGAAATAAATGAGCTAAATGAATTTAGGAAACTGGAAATACAATAGAAGTGCGAACAGCGACCCCAAACTTTGAATGAACAACTTAGTTTTGTACTAATGCTCTCTAGTGTAATTAATCGACTTTAGTGTCATTGAATATTATCGTCACACCATTAGTTAAGGTTACAACGATCAGGATCTTTTTAAATAAATTATATAATAAAAAATTATGCTTACCACTGTAATCCCTATTAAGATAGACAGACATATTGAATTTATCGCTGGACATTCCCACATTTCGTTAAGCATAATTATTAGAATCGTAGCATGGGGTGAAACAAATAAATATATAATAAAGTATATTAAAATTTTAATATGTATTTAAATTGTGTGAAATTTTATATATAACTTTATACAGTATATTTAAATTTCTGACTAACTCTTCAGTGATGTAAAAGACCGGTAAAAAACCATTATAACATAATCGTCGAAATGTGAGTATTCGAGAATTGCTGTTTAATCGATTAGAAATTACAGTAGTGAACATATTCATTAGCTGGTCAGATTAGTGCTAGTAAATAAAATAACTAATAAAATAATAATAATAAATGCAATAGAATTAATTTGATTTTCACGATCTCTTATATACAGTATCAATAGGAAGTATTTATTAAATTTTATAAGAGTGACGACCTTCGTGGTGAAGCAGTTTAATACATATTTTTGTATTATATACATATGTTCGATCCTCGTATATTACAAACAAATGTATTCAAGCTTTTCTCAGTTTTGAACTAGATGGTATTGTGTACAGTATAAGTTACAGGAACTTAAAAAATATAGAAGACAGTTACTCACTGATCTCCATGTACAGTTGATTGATGGTATCATAGGTATCCCAATACGGGGTTTGATCAGGACCAAGACGCGGAGTGTCGCCCAACATGGGGCTCGGTGGTGGGGTTGCTGAGGGATCATTAGGATTTCTGCAACAATAGTTAAAATATTAAATGTTATAATATTTTAACGTTTTAATTTCGTATACTAATGGCTTCTTAATCTTTACTAATATTATAAATGTGAAAGTAGGTTTGTTTGTTCGTATGCTATATATTTGCGTCTATACAGCCCAACTTATCGTCATGATATTTGGTATAAATGTAATATTATGATAGCGAAGGATATCGGCTACTTTTTATCTGATCAATAAATATATCCCAAGTACGCGGACGATGTCGCAGGTAATAACTGGTTAAATAACAAATTAAAGAAAATTATTTATTAATTTTCAATTTTGTCTTAATTAAACATGTAAACATTACATTAATTAAACATGTAAACATCGAATAACCTAATACATTACCCTAGCAGAAGAATATATTGGTTTTCTAAGAATCTACAAATTTCCTGTACATACTTAAAACATCAAAACTGACAAAATTCATTTTGTAATTAAACTGCGGAATTTGAATTTGCAACGTGTTTTATCAATTAAATGTAGCTTTTAGATTATAATTACGTAAACCGATCAATTTACAAATGGAAACGAATTAAGTATTATGTTATAACTAAATTAACTTTAAAGAGATGTGTATTTTGATCTTAGCTTTGATCACGAATGTTGTAGCCAGAAGATTGAAGCTTTCAGATGAACTCAAATTATAAACTTGTCTAAATAGAAACTTTTACGACTTAATTCAACGTGGACCATCCAATCTAAGATTTACGAACTAGCTAAGTTTCTGAACCTAGTTACGCTTCCAATCATGAATTAAAATACTCTGCAATTCGACTTACCCGTATCTAACAAAGTTAGCAACATAGTGCATACAAAGACGAGACACTCGCTGTTCCTGCTGTGTAAAGTTTTGCTGATGGTGAGCCTGTGACAATGGCACTCCAAGATAGTAAGGCATCTCTTCACCATGGACGGAGCCTGGACGCTGAACAGATAGAAATAACTTTATTAGAATGTTCATTGACGAACTTGCATCATCTACAATCCTAATATAATAATAATAATATAATAATAAAGCCTTTATTCTCTGACCATAATTTTACTTTAATTTACATACTATTTATTACTAAGGTACCCATATAAACTAGACAGCTGGATGCACCGCATCTGAATTTAATTTTTTTTTTGTCCTTTTGACTACAAGTCTAATCTAATATTACATACATTTTATTTTATTGTTCATATTTGTTTTATAAATTTAAAAAATACGCAACCTATTTTAAAAACTGTTTCACGTATAGAGAGCTACATTATCAGCGAGTAATAAAGTTTATATACTATTTAAATAACATTATATTCGCTAGTTACAAGTATTTACAATACTATTAATTTTACAGTCACCTGTGTTAAATTTAAGTTAAATAATTTTTTTATTGAATACATTGATTTATTGATATGTGTTCTTATTACGAAAGTAATATATTAAGGGTTAAGACTTATTCCGCTAGTTCCATTACACTCTACTAGATCAAGAGACTACGGCAACAAATCCTTTAAGCTGGCTCGACTTGAAACAGTGAGTGCAGTGCCCTAATTTTAACATCCGGTATTTTTATGTTATTCAAAGAATTACAAATTCGAGAATTTTCGAAATTAAAGAGCATAAAATCGATATCACGCTAATATATCGTTAGCACGTATTTTTATTTAATACTCGAGCACATAAATTTAACTTACTTCGCTTAAAAAATACAAAGTAATAAAATTATTTCCATAATATAAAAAACAAAAAAAATTGCAATACTTATTTAACAATGTTAAGAATTTAGGTGTACAGTTAATAAAATCGAATATATAAGTATGTAAAAATTATCTATTAAATAATAGTGTAAGTACGAAGTAAATAGTAACAATGACATTGCTTCGCAGTAGGTATAATCGACTTATACGTATATCATTAGGGTCTATGTAAATTTCAGTGGAAAACACTGAGAATAACCTAAATCGTATCTACATCAAAATGTGTCCACATTTTGATGTGCCGAATGTTATGTTCACCATGAAACCACTGTCCTAAATAACCATGTCCCCGACTGACCAGTAGGGGGCTCATTACTTGTTTTATTATTATTATTAATAATTTATATAAAATTAAATATATTTAATAATTGAAAGAAGAATTAATATTATTTTTAAGATGGAAAACATTTATTTATATAAGCAAACATAAACTTCAATAACATAAAGACCCGAACAAACTTTGTTTATAACGAGAATCTGTACTTTACTAAGTGTTCTTCACTTCAATGTAGGTGACCTTCTGCGATCCTTTACCGTACCTTTACCTCTTTATGTAACGAGGGTCAACGTGTACACAGCCAATAGAACACCCCTATGAATAAAATATTAATAGGCAGTGTAAGTTGGCTTACCTGCGGGTAATCTTTATCTTGTGAAAGGTGATGAAAATGTGTGAAATAAGTAGTGCCACCTCGTAAGGCGTGGAGGTAACCGAGTCTGATTAACGGTGCTGCGGTCCGGCCGTCACTTAAAACCTGAAAAAATATACACACTTAAAATTCAGAATATACAAAACTCATCTACTCGTATAGATTTTCTCCCACGCTCTTCTCTTTAATCGTAACTATTTTGATGTAGTAGTCTTATTGTTCTTACCGTGTGGTCTCAGCATAAAATAGGCCACCCCTTCCCTTCCCGTGAGTGTCGTAAAATGCGACTGAGGGAACTTAATGATCTAGGGATGGGCAGCAACGTCTCTATTAAAACAATACAAAAACCTAACTGCGGTTGCCAACCCTTCTGACAAAAGTGACAATGTGTACTGGCAAACCCCCCAATAGGAGAAGGTCTAAGTTCGGCAATGAATACTCATATGTACTCTACAGAAGTTCTTTAATAAAAATTGATATGCCCGATCTTAGTAAAAAATGGAAGTCAAAACAACAATTTTTATAACTTTTGTTGTATGTCTATCCATCTGTGTTATGTTCGTTCCAGAATTACAAAAAAAACTATTATATACCAAATTAGATGCGCTTTTCATAGTAATTTTCCCGAAAAACAAATCTAAAATCTAATGTATACGTTTATTTTGATGCACCATCTAGAAGGGGTCAATATCATTTTTACTTATTATTCCTACTTCCAAAATCCAAGCACGAAGTCGGAAGCAAACGCTAGCAATATATAATTAAATACATTTAATGCAAATGTGGCTATCTTAAAATCAGGTTATAATATACCTACGCATACAAAATATATGTGTAGCTACCATTCCACGAGCTTTGTCCTCATCTCGGGCTTTATCTCCCCTCGTTTCTATATAATCTCAGAAAATTTACCCATTATTCTGTGAGATGTACCGCATTGATTAACCTTGAGAATATACCTACTTCTATGTATATAGGAAATGTCATTTAGATAATGACTGCTAAACTTATATTAACTTTTATTACGTAATAAATTCATTTAAATAAATTCAATATTATAAATCTTCCAAAAAGGGTCATTATAATTAATGTAATTATGATATACATTTTTTTATCTATGCCTACCCCAATAGGAGACAGACGTTAAAGATATGTATGTATATATGTAAGATTTATTATATGTATTGATAATACAAAGCTTTTGCTCATAACGATTCGTGTAACAAAGAAACAGTTATGTTTTTGAAGATATTTGTTATTTTTATTCTCATTAGCGATCATCAATTATTTTCTTCCGTCATAAATTTATACCAAAAAATATATTTATCGATTATATAAATAAATTCTAACAAAAAGTCATAACAGGAACAGTTAATTATAAAAGTATTAATTAATATAAATTTAATAACAACAATGACATTATTATTTCATGTTTGATGATGCAAGTCTTTCCAATAAAGCCCTCATCGTACCCATCGTGTAATCAAAGTACACAAGCGTCATTAACTTCCTTTGTATGGAGCAGGAACGGTGGTGAGTTGCGAAAACCACTTGAAAGCTTAAATTGAGAACTACCACAATATAAGACGACTGCGCTATACGAGGGTTCGTATGCTTATTGTAACTAGTTACTAGTTAAGTGACAGTAATATAGATATTTCTTTTTATATCGTTTTACATCACTGTGAAGGCCAATATATCGTCATAGTCGTAGAATACTGACGGATTTGACGAAGATTACATATAAAGATCCATCAGTATTCTACGACTATGATGATATTACAACATAATTAATCGTAAAATGCAGGTAATTTGATGATATATATTAATGATACGGTAATTTAATAAATCAATCGATAATGTGAATTAAATGCATGAATGTAGAAAAATTTGTTGAATTGTCAATATAAAGAACTTTTGATCCTTTGCCTCACATCTCTGAATCTCCTAATACAAAAAATTTAATATTGAAAAGTGAAACATAAAATTTAATATTGAATTACACCAATGTTATCAATTGTGAACCGATTTTTTATTCTTTTTGCAATTGACTGGGCTTTCTTTTGTCTCGTTGTCCTATAATAAATTTATGACAATGATATCGTTGTTTTTCTTTTTAGAAAAAAATTAAAGTAAAAACCACAGAAGCAAAAAATACACGACTTTACAGAATGTCACGTACCTATATTTTGCTCCGTAAAATACATTCTGACATAAGCCTAAGTATAGTTAATTATAATTAAATTGATCCTTTCTTGTATTCTATTGTGTGAGTCTATAATAAGTTTACTACTGTAATCTTTTGGAGGAAAAAATAAAAATTGTCTTTCTATCAACAATAAAAAACTGTTTAAACAATAATCAAATACCTCGAGAGTTGCATCGCGGACGCTAAGTGGATTCTGTACAGGCTTGTCCCAATCCGTGTACTCGTTCTTCAGGGTTGAATAGATCTCATTCAAGTGGTAGTAGTAAGCGTTGCGGACAAATGTACGCAGGATACGGTCTCGACGGCTCTCGTTAAAACCAAATTCTAAATCTTGAGCGTTGAATTCCAAGTACGATTCTGCAAGCGGCGACATGTCCCTCATTAGCATAAATTCACTATTTAAATGCATCCTAATTCAATTTGTGCTCCTCTTTTAAAGACAACAGCTTATATAATTACTTTAATTATAATATTATTACAATTGTTTTTAATACACTTTAAGAAATATTGTACATTATTGTAATATATATTCATACTTTTTCTACGAACATAAGGAAATGAAAACGTAATTACATATGAGAAAAATATAGTTATTATTCTACACTATTTTCGAAATATGTTGTTTTACGTTAAGGTTTCTAAAGATTTTGATTATTTTCAAATCTAAATATAATAACAATTGTCTATAGTATTAATATTTGTTATAATTATTAAACCTTTGAATGAGTTTAACTAGAAATAAGGAAAGACAGTTATTATATTGGATGACTACTCCTATGCTAATGTTTATATTGTGCTCTATCTATACAAGTAGGTTTTCATTCTTATTTACACAGTAAATCTCATCGAAGAAGACTGCAGGACAATACGGTCACAGCTAACTAGTTCACAACTTTATAATACTAGATATTGATCGCAACTCCACTGCGCGTTGCGGTGCGTATTACTAGCGAACCGTATCTTACCAGTGGTGGTGAGCCCAAAAAGTAGTTCTCTATGAGAGAAGTCAGCCAATTCATGACCCGCTGCATTGGCTACAGCAGCTGCACCGGCTCCTAGTCGCGAACTATCCGTCGGCGGCGGAGCCTTTAAAAAGACAATATTATTAATAACTGTTATTATTATTCGATTATTATATATAATTATTAGTAGGTTGGGGCTATTTCAGACTCTACAGACGTGCCAGTTTAGAAAATTCAAGTGTTAAAAAAACATATATTTTTTTATGTTATTAAGAGCGATGGTTTATGTAATGTGGATTCACAATATGGGTTGTGTTTTCCATAGGAGATATTACGCTTGTGTACAAGTGAACTCTATCCACATAGGATAATGACAATATATCAATTAAATATTGTATTTTTTTATTATTGCATTAATTAGTTTACGAAGTAATTAAAATTAATCATTCTACCAAACTATGATTTTTTTATACTACTTTGAATGGCAAACAAGCTGACGGCCCACCTAATGCAAAGTAGTAGCCGTCGCCTATAGACATGAGCAATACCACTCTCTTTTTTTTTGTTTTATTAAACATATATATATATATATATATATATATATATATATATATATATATATATATATATATATATATATATATATATATATATATATATATATAAACAATTATGTGCAATATATTCACTAATATTAAAATTACTATGATGTTTTACTTAAATGGAATAATTTACACACTATGCATAATTTAGACTACATATATTATGATTAAAGTCAAGTATTTATAAAAGGATTTAAATAAATTTTAGCAATGTTTCTAAACATCATAGAAGTAGACCCTTATATAAAATAACATTTAAAATTTAGTCACACTTGACGAAGATATCACACGTAATACACACGTAAAACAATTGGTAATAACCAAGTAGCCAATAATACTCAACAACAGACAAACGTAATTATTAAGTAGGTAATTAATTATTAAGTAGGTAACACTTACATAATTATCATTATAATAAAATCATATAGCATAAAAGCTAAAACAACATTAAAAATAACAATAAAAACAACATCGAACGAGCCCCTTTACTCTGTAATAAAACGCTGAATTATTTTGACATTCTCTAAGAAACGGTAGATTAATTTCCTATTTACAATAATTAAAGTCTCATAACGATGCTTACACTTTAATTGTGCGCTCAGATATTTAACCTTTAACATGGAATCGCATTTCTGCCACCGCTGTGCTTGCTTTGCTGTTGGTTTGAAGGGTGAGGTACTGAAATTATTGGGATACGGATATAAATAAAGTAGTACAGTACGACCGTATTAGAAATTTGAAGGCGTGAGAAATACTATGAGCGTCATAGTATATGTTTTTATTTGGTTTATTTAACTTTATTAACTAAAAGAATATATGGTACAAAAGGACTTAATGCTAATAGCATTCTCTACCAGTCAACCTTTAGAATTAGCAGTGAATCACGAACGCGTTCATAATTGGTAGATAAAGAATGTAACATATATATATATATATATATATATATATATATATATATATATATATATATATATATATATATATATATATATATATATATATATATATATATATATATAACTTATAAATAAAATATAAAATATAAAAGAAGATGATATATTATGATATCTTCTGTATACTAATTCCTAAAGATTGACAGATTACTTGTTTGTTATTGTTTATAAAGATATTTTAACATAGTAACCAAATGAAACCCTTAAATCATATAAGGTTATCTTGCTATCAAACCGTCGTCTGAATGTGTATCACAATCATATACCAATATTTTGCAGTTTTATAAGATAAAAGAAAAATGATAAAATGGAAATTTAATACTGTATTTAAACTTCCTGTACTTTAGGTCTTATATTGTGGCATTATATCCTACAAACTAGGGTAAAACATAGGCACTAAAGGTTCATATATTATACGGATTAATTTATGTCGCTATGGGTAGACGTAGGTCGACAGGTAGTAAGGATTACAGCTGCTAAAGAAGAGAACGTACAATGTAACAATTTATTTGAGGAATTCTTGTTCATTTAATTAATCCCCATAGATCAGGGTTGAAATGTAAACAGTTGTTTTACAGATCTTTGTAAATGTTGCCTTCTCATAAATGGTAAATAACTTTACGTAGTTGCCCGTTAGCAAAATAAAAAATTGAATACAAGATTATGATGTGTTGTTCTTTCTTATGCATGCAGTATTGTATTGATTTTTATTAATTTAATTTAAAATGGAGTTTTTAATATAAATTTATTTTAATTGACAAAGTTATTTCACATAAATTAAACAACTGTTTCAATTCTCTCTCGCCCAAGCAAGAAATTATGTTTTCTAAATTTATAAGTATTTTTATCTGTGATATTAAATGTTTATTGTATAGTTTTGTCCTTATTATGCTATTATTATAAATATTATTTTAAGCATATCTTTTTCATTTTATAATCTAGAATTCGTTGAATTATATGAACAAAGTTAATTACTAGCCTTAGAAAGATATTTATAGCCTCGTATTATACAGTGTATGATCATTTATAAATTTTGAATTATTATTCAAATAAAATATATAACAGAGATATTTATAGAAAATGAAATCTAAATTATTTGTATTCTTTTAATGTAGTATAAAAAATAATAACTTGAGGTTAATAAACCTATTGTTTTGTTTTTAATTATATATTAAATATAATTAAAAAAAACAATGTCTATCGTCTTGAAACTAGTCAGTAAATTAAAAAGTATTCAAAAAGAATTAATTCTCAGTATCATGCGATTCACACAATACCATATAATTATTATTATAATGCGTAGGTAGTAAAAACATACCTATCTCAATTTCTTTCATATTTACTGCATTTATTTCTAATACCTTATTTAATTTAATTATTTAATTTTTAGTTATCCTATTCATTATATAAATGATAGTTGCTACTTTGCATTATGTAAACTTTCAGATTGTGTTTTATATAAGTTAGAATTACAAAAAAAATAATTATAATTCGATAGGACTGGATATATCTAAGAATGGCGAAATTAATAAAAAGAAATGGTTTCTTCATTGACAAGATACAGGCAGTTTAAACTTACAGAGGACGGATTTACAATAACAGTGCCATCAACAAACGGCGCGAAACCAGGCAGAAACCGCGGTGGGTCGAGCTTCACGGCAAGCAACTCGGCGAGCGGCTTGTTGCGCAAACACGGCGCCAAGTCATCTTCCACCATGTCTCCATGGCACCCTGTCTGTTCTGCTACCTAATTAAATGATATAAAAATTACATTTTCTATGATTTTCTTTACGTTTAATTAAAACGGCTTACTATATAGAATTATGTTCGCTTTTTTAAGTAGTCAATAAAATTAATAAATAAAAAATATTAAAGACAAAAACTAAATTATTTTGTGTCCTTTGAAGAGAATTGTTCTATCGAGAAAACTGAACATTTTTCTCAAAATAATAAACGATAAAATATTTTGCACACACGACACAGCGCGTTCAGCTGCCAATTTTGTATGCGAGGCTCAAAATTAATTACAGTATAAATCCGAAATTTATTTTCTTTTGAATATGTCAAAAAAGAGTTAAAATCAAAATAATAATAAAAATCTGATACACATTTTCGTACATTTGTATTTTAACCATATCCAAAATATTTCATAGAAAAACCAATTTTATTAACACACTTCACCTTCCGATGATCACAGGTTCGCCCACCACATAATACAAACATGTAAAGACATATTTTATATTTTTGTTTATATTCGGTATGGACATTTTTTATATTACCAAAATAATTTTCAAGAATATATAGAAGAATTTCTTATCTAGCATCCTCAGTACAAACTTTTCTCAGTTTGTGTCTAGAACTTCGTAATAGAATATGAATATTATAGCAGTTACCTGTAAGCAGTACAGATACTAGGTATCTACCGTTCGAACACCTAAAAAGTTAGTCTCCGAAAAAAGCTGGAAATACTCTAGTTTATAAATCACGATTTTCTTCAGCATCAATAAATCCCAACACCTTTACGGCAGCAATTACATTTATCTTGTCTCATACATTTAAAGACATTTAGGTACAATCGTAACCCAAGCTAATTCAAAGAGCGAACATAAAAAGATTTTTCTCGGGCCTTCCTTCAAATTGGCTGGGTAATAGGATCGCCAGTTTTTAAGATGGCGCCCACCCACTTCGTTTACCTAAAACTCACACTCAGTTCAAACTCGTTCGAAATGCGGAATTACCTACCTTTTTTTTTATCGTGAGCGGTTCCCTCTGCAAGGCCCAAGAGCTAAGTCCCGACCCGCTTAATAAGATGACACGCTTCAGTAGTTCTGAAACAGATATCTTAATTTAATTTCGTCATTTCGAAGAAAGATCACGAAGATAATGAAATCACTTCTAAAGAAAAACATTTGTATTTCATCCTTGTTTCCCGTGTTTTTTATTACAGGAATTTTAAAGAGAAAAATCTGGTGGAATTTTGACCTTATTTTTAAATCGTGTTGAGAAAACTCCCCTCTTGTGTATGCCTGATGTGACCCTTTTAATCGCATTAAGTGACGGAGGATCTAAACGGGATGCTGACACGAAATAATGAAATCTGCCTGGACCGGTCTAATTACGGACAATGGGCGACCATGCCTCATGCTCGTGAACGGCCACTGTTTGCGGGCGCCGCGGTCTTGTTTCATGTCTGTGGTGACACTTAATTAAATTATTGTTTTCTATGTCCACACGCATAATTGACATTTAACATTTACGTTTATTAGCATACGTTATGTTTTTCTGTATAGTTATTAAATTACTGTAATACAATGTAATACTTATGTAAATTTCTTATCAAAGCTTATGTGAGGTGATTTGAAAGAATATTGTTTTTTTTTTATTTTATCGTAAATATCACCATAGTTATTTAAACAGGTATATAGTATATATAAAAAACTCGAAAATTGAGAATATATACTATATAAAAATATATCAGTACGTATTGTAATATTATAATAAAATATTTAGTTACAAAATTTGTTATTTTAACAAAAGTTATGTATCGTGACATCAGCCAATCAACTACGGTTAAATAAATCACATATTTCCATGTGCAAATATATTCCATAGATATCGAGTTATTCAATTTAGTTAACACCAGAATTAACCACAACGAAATTAAATATTTGTACAAATATAAGTTATTTTATTGAAAATAAAATACAAAATATAATACTTTGATTACACTACGTGATCTTAAAACTTTCAATATAATTTATATATTTATATAATTTTATTATGTGTTAAAGAAATATATTGTACTCGTAATAACTGAATTTAAAAACTACATTAGTTTATATGGCTATCAAAATAATTTAAACTCTTTTTGGTCCCATTTTTGGTCTTGAACCCTGCATTTTTTTATACTACTGATGGTAAGCGGTTACCGTAGCCTACGAATGCTTGCAATACCCTGAAGAAACCTGTCTACCCCCCTTTTAAAAATCTCATGCTGTAGCCTCTTGGGAAAACCTCGATTAAATTGACCAAAATTTAAAATAAACGCTTTTCACAAAAGAAATTTAAAAGATGTTCTTTATCACCTGCCTTTATTTTTCACCTTAAACTAATTCAATTGCTTTAGAAGTTTGTGAAATCGGGTCGTTAATACCGAGATTTATGAGCTGACATACAAAAACCGACCAAGAGCCCATTCAACACGCATTAATAGGGTTATGAACCCCATAAATGCGTGTTGGACGACTCACTTATATCTCACAAAAAAGATGCTTAATAAAATAAATTCATTTTGCATTTTGGAAGACCTTTTCTATGACACCTCATTTAACAGGCCCGAAGAAATTTATTTTGGTATTTTTTCATCCAAACGGTTGATGTACGGTTTTAAACTCACATCGTGGTTATTTATAACGTTGTGTATTTTATGAAAGAGATTTTTTTAAGCGGCTTCTCTTCATCATGAGAGCATTATTTGCCATCAAATAATTTATATTACGATCTATAATAATAATAATAATAATTAACGTGAAAGTTTAAAAGTTACTAGTTCTCTTTCGGTAGAAATGTATCAGCACGACATATTATTTATACAATATTGCATATTTACACATTATTACCAGAATTATAATTGTAACTTTATTGTCTAAAAAATATCTTGTGTAATATACTCTCTCTATACTTATGTAATTCTCTTGTGTAGAGTTGTTACTCTATTTTACATTATAATATATATTATACTGTAAAATAAAGTAATATTATTATGTATTATATTTCATCTATATCTTAAAAGTGCATTGATATAATATTAAGCGTTTTTTTAAATAGAATATTACCTCGATACTTTTTACTCAACAAACCTCTAGCTACTGGCGATACTGCTAAAAAGTTTGCAAGAGCAGCGCCGGTTCCATGCCCCATAATGGTGACTCTCTCAGGGTCACCTCCGAATGCCGGTAAATTCTCTCTCAACCAATGTAACCCCGCCACTAAATCCATAAGTCCAAAGTTACCCTGCGCCGACCCCTTAGCACCAGTCTTTAAAAAACCTGCAATCATAAAATATAATATAGTACTCGTCCATGTTAGAGAACCAAATACACGTATAAATAAAAATGTGACAAAAATCATAATAAAAATACAGTTTTCTTTAAAGAAAACTAATAGGAACAATATGTTCATACGCGAAAAATCATGCTACCTTTGTTACAATTTATGATGGTGATGATATAGGAAAATTTTGTACAAAGTCATCTGCATGGAAATCTTTATCTCGTGTTTCCACTGTTAAGCAGCAGCATACTTTTTATATATCAAAAATGTATACATAGATTTACTTATTGAATCACCAACAATAGCACTAATTAGCTCACCTGGTATTACAGTTGAAAAAATAGTATTGTAATATTATTTAAATATCGACTGATGCTATCCAGTCGAAATCATATTATTAATAATATAAATAATAATATCATATCTTTCCTTAAAAAATTGGCAACTTACTTACAAAATTACGAATTAGAAAGTAATGCAATATCATCACTTTTAAGGGAATAGCATTTCATATTTATTTATATACATTTTCCGTAAGAAAAACTTTAGTATTAGTGCTTACTCAACAGTACTGATATATTGATATTTACTATATTATTATTTTAATACGTACTAGGAGAAAACACGAAACTTTGTATAATATTATGTACCTACTACTCTTACTGGACGTGAGCCAATATATATTATCTCAGACCCATCATGGAGGTTTTTGTTCAGATTAAAATATCTATGAGATACTTTCATATCAATCTTCACGTTAAAACTATCCAGCTTCGCAGGCAAATTAATCTATTAACGTCTCACTACCGACCGCTGGGCATATATTTCACCTGAGAAAGAGGGCCAAATGACTACGTATAAATTATTTTCCAATTCTAACTCTCTTGATGGTGTATTGTGTTTAATAACTACCTAATTTACAAGTAATGGAAAACTTATTCGCTAATTTATACTTTATTGTATACAAAAAATTACATTGTTATAATTTATTTTGAACAAAGATGTACAATGGACGAGCTTAACTCTGTAAGAACAACAAGCAAAAAAATAAACAAAACAAAAAAATAATAATGAAGATTATACATCAAAGACTTGTGACAATATTGAAAGACATAATTTACTTATTTCTATTCGGTTAAAGTCTATAATAAGTTATTTAATTTTCATATCAAATCAAACACTACTAAGGATTAACCAGAAGTTCATCAATCAAAGGTCAAAATCCAAAATGAAATTGGAGTTGCTAAACCCCTAGCTTAGTGAGATCTAAGTTTTGACTAATATAGGAAATTCTAAGCTTCAGGTTTTGATTTGATTATTTATTCACTTAGGACTTATTAAGCATCTCGTGAATACGGAAGGAAATATTACAGATTGCTGTTATTAAAATTCTTATTTATTATACACACTCAAAAATTCTACTGCAAAGAAAGTATAGAAATAATAATAACAATAGAAGTACACTAACAAAAATAAACCGACACCAATGATCTCAATTTTTCAAATCAAAGACTCTAACCCATACTGATGACGTTGTCATATATAATATAAAATAATATGAATAAAACACATTCAAATTCAGATATTCACAGAACAAGATATGAGAGGACGCATGACGCGGGTTCCGGATGGGTTTGTCACGTCATATTGAGGTATTGACGGGTAGATTGATGGCCTATTTTTAGCCACACAGATAAGGACATGTATAGATAATTTTATTGTCATCAAGACCAAAAATCTAAAAAATTACGGTAAATTAAAATCACAATAATAGTCATTTTTCAATCATGTTTCTTTGGAAAAACGTACCAGTTTACTGATAGAACCCTCCATTAAAATTATGCAAATTAATTTAATTTCACCCTGTATATATCATATGCGTGTGGTGGCTAGTAGTAGTGGTGTGGTATTGTGATGAGACAAGAGCTACAATTAGGTGATATTATAACTTTATACAGTCATAAGTTGTTCATCATGTTATTACAAGCAAATATTATCTGTCATCAGAAGGCAATCGAAAAGGCAAATGAACGAAAACTGAATTCAACACAAGTAAACAGGTAGTTGAGCCTTTATGATTATGATATGCTTCATAAACTCCAAGGTAAAACTTTTCTTCGGTATATAGGTATGTTTGTAACTTTGCGGTAGAATTATATACTTCAAAGACAAGTTAAAGTTTGATTACATTACACTGTCTATAAAAGAAGTGAAAACAAACAATGTAGGTATTTGACGACGAGAATAACATTGGCACAAATGAATAAATAATATATGTATTCTCAAATAAGTAAAATTATTTTTACATAGTGCCTAGTAATAGTAAACAAATTAACAAACCACCAGGAAGGTATTATAATACAGTAGATACTATATACAAAATTACAAAACTGAGGTTCTGATAATTTTAACTCAGTTTTATCTTCCGCTTGCAAAGTTTAGATATTATTTATTCATACTGGAATGCCATACAAGCGGACAGGGACTCATTCCTGAAGACTAAGTTGTTATGCTTATGTATCTTGTAACTTAATTGCCATATCCCAGCCGAAACAACCAGGCGAACATAACTTCTTAGCGGTAGAAACACGAATATAAGGTAGAGGTACAAGTCATTCATCATGCATATGACTAAACGATAAGTACTGGCCATTATGATCAGATGGATCATGCATTTTCTGAGGAATCAATCAATATAAATGAGACGAATTATAAAAGTAGATATTGCCTTTATGGTAAATTTTTAAGGCTAAAGGATCTGATGTGAATAAATATACTTACCCAATATACCTAATCTAAAGTTGATAGTCACTACAATTATGTTGCCATGCGCCGCCAGCGTAGTACCGTCGTATGCGTTTCCAGAACTCCACTCATAGGACTCGCCGTGTACAAAGACGAGACACGGCACGCCCACTGAGTTGCCTTCCATCTCCCCTCCTAAATAGTGATTCATAATTTTATAACGAGTGTAAAATATATGATAATAAAGATGTCTTAACATAGAAAATTTAAAAATAACATAAATTTCAGTTGGCATATTTTATAAGTACCCATTACTACGGAAGAATATTAATTTTTCAATATATTATTTGGATATGATTCATACTTTTAAAAATCTATATAAAAATCATGACAATGTTTATAATATTCAAATTAATATAGTCTAAATAAACTGAAAAAAATTATAATACATGTTAAAGATGAATGACAATCTTTTGAAAGAAATAATAATGTGTATGTATGTTTTTAATCCTATTGTCGTAAAATGGAACCATTATTTAGAAAAGTATAATTTCGTAATTCTATATTCAAAAGTGTTGTTTTCTTGTAATGTTGGTAATATTACAAGGATACAACAGGGAAAATACTTAAAACAGAAAACATTTCCTTATTATGTTGTCATTTACATTCAATACACGACGTGCGAGTCACGTCTAATTACTGTCATCATAAACAATCACAGTTGGTTCAAATTGTTTGACAGCACTTAATAATTGCTTTAATGATATTCTAATAAGATCTTATAAGGCTAAACTCTATTAAATCTATTAACAAGTAACATGATTATATTAAATACAATTACAAGGATCAATTACTTTAAATATAACAACAAATCGTAGGTAAACTATTTTACACTCCCTCCTTATGTATACCCTAAATAACTTTAGTTAATATTCTACTAAATTTTTTCGTGACATATAGTAGTCTGTGTGATTTTTAAAAATTAATTGGTAAAAACATACAATAATTTAATATTTTCTAGAAACTTTTATGTATACTTAACTATTTAATTAAAATATTAAAGACTTCTACTTGACTTATAGTAGAGTTATTATATTTCACAATCCTCCGAAAAATATCGATTTTAAGTTTAGCTAATACCTACTTAATAACAAAACTTCGTTATGATTGGTTATGTCCTTTTCTTGCGGTGATAAATTCTTAAAACAAAAAATTTGTGTTCCATTGCATATGTCTAATTTCCCTAATTTAAAAAAAATTTAATATATATGTTATTATTACACAATAATACATTTAATTGGAAAAAATATAGATGAACTATAATAATATTAAAAAATAATGAGTAAAATCGGCTCTTCCCATTTTGGTTCCAAAATATACGATTTCAAAGTTTCAAAGGTAAAAAATGTAAGTCTTTTAGAATTACAAATAAAGCAATATAATACCTAATGGTTCAATTTATCCGTCTAAGAATCAGACTACCAATTTATATTAATATTGGCTGGAATATTTTTTTCAATAAATATCTGGACTACTTTTAGAATTTATTATCCTGATATTTTAAAAATTGTTATTTTGATTCTATACAATACAACTCTAACAATTTATTATTATTATTTATTATTAATAATTTAGTGTAGTATTTCGAGACAAAAATTTAAGAATATTTTTATTCCCTTCAATATATAGATATATACCGGTCACACAAACGAAGTTGAGGTACAACTACTCGTAGTTGTGACATTATTTACTATTTTTAAATGAATAAATATATATTAAATATTGTTAGTTGAATAATAAATCTTACTAATATTGTAAAATAATATGAAACATTATGAACGTGTTTGAATGAAATTTGGTACACAGACTACGTTCTCGATTAACACACAATATTTCGGCATGAATTATGATAACAAATTGATAAATATTAAAAAAAAATGAAATTTAACATAAAAATTTAAATAGATGTTCTGTAGATGTACTGATGCTCCAAACAACTCTTGACCGTCGAGGTGTTGTTGTGGAATATCTCAACCTCACTTCCGCACTGCTTGCAGGGGGCACTATGCACTGCAATGCACTACGGAATTGAGGCCTCGACACCCTGACCCACTTCAGCTCCTTCCATTTGATTAATGTCCTCCTAAACTTTGTTGAAAAACGCTCGCTTTTTTAATTAAAACTCGTCCAAATAAATACAACTTAGTTAATAAACTGAGTTATAAAATCGGAGAGATGACAAATGAGGTGTCTGGAGTATTAAAGCATACTCGTACTAAAATTCAACTCTGAGTTATTTTGAATTATGAATGATATTGTGCTCTAATATACTATACATAAGTAACATAAGCTGTGAACAATGTAAAATTATAGGTATTATTCTATAATAATTAAGAAATAAAAGCCTTGAACATCGAATACATTTTTGGCAATCCGAATACAATTACGCACAAGCACACCAGTAGCGACTTGTATTATAATGTACGAAAATATTGTACCTAGATCTAAAGACCACACATTAGAATTGTGAATATTGTTAAAAAACAACTAATTTTTAAAGATAAATGTGAACGCACTAATTTTGTGGTTAGTTCTAAAACTTAAGACTTCCATTAAAAATTTCATGATATAATTAACATAAAGTAAATATTAAAGGCAATGATATAATAATATCTCTAATGCGATTGCCCTGTCTTATATTTCTGACGCGCAGCCTTTGGAACATTGTAATTTTCTTTGGTAAGAGTGAAACTCTGCATATTTGAAGAGCGGCTTATTTAACGGACAGTGAATTAGCGGTGAAATGACGTGAATAAATTATGAATAAACCGGCTGGCAAGGATTAACGAGCGCCGCGAGACCTTACCGCGAATCACCGCCGCAATAGGTACTCCATTATGTTGATATTATTGTTCTATTCTATCAGATGTTATTTTAATAGGAATACCGAGTTGAATTAATATTTTCATTAAGTAGACAATTTCAGCGGAACAAAATTAATTGTATAAAAGGTTATAATTTATACAAACTGTATTTAACTCTGAATTAATCTAACGGATATGTGGACAAAGCAACAAAAGATTTTCTTAGTACAGATAATCTAGTGACTTCTAACGAATAAAGTATACTTTGTTCTTTATAAGTTTCTTGATTGTTACAACAAACAAGTTTGTGACGTCAAACATTTCGTGCGTTACAAAGTATTTATATATCTCTCCCTCTCTCTCTATTGACACAAAACACAGAAATGATCTGTCTTAATATTACAAGTTTATTTTTTTATTATATCGTAGGTAGTTAGTTAAAAAAAAAGAAATATTTATTAATTTATTTTAATTAATTGAATATCTACCTATCCTATTATAATATTATAAATGAAAAAAATTGTAAGGATAGAAGGTGATGGTGATAATGGATGACTGGATGGCTAGATAAATGGATAAACGTTTGTAGGTAGAAACGTGGAGTTAAAGCCAATAAGGAAGTGATGGACTGTCATCTTTGCTTGCCGCGAAAACCTAAGAAAATTAAAATGTTTCCCAAGTAAATGCACAATAAAATTAAACAATGTTTGAATGGTACGAATTGAAGGATACGAAGCAGGCAATCTCATCATATTTCAAATAAAATGTAAGATACATTTGACAGTAATAACATTAGCATCGTTATGGAATATAAAAGAAAACCAGTCTGCTACATTAACTAGAATAAATTACAGTATGTAGCAAACTACTTCCTTGTTATTATTTAAACAGTTCCATAAGCATATTCAATATATCTTACCGTTAATGGGCACGTAGAGATTAACGTATAGACAGTCTTCGCTTTGATTAGCGAGCACAGGCAACAGCCTCTCGAGTTGACGGATTCGCGCACGTGGATGCATCAATAGCGCATCGTCGTGCGGTGCGGCCGCCGGGGGCGCCTGCGGACACGCCGGCCGCGCTGCGTCCGCCAGCCGCGTCTCACGCCACTGCGACGGTGTCACCGGCGGCATATATCTGTGTCATTTTACCGTATTTTTAGATACATTATTGATAATCACATAAAACAATACACAAGAGGGTTGCCATTAATTATCCTATCCAATTTAGATTTTATCTATTTATAGACTAAGCGTTATAGATATACAAGCCGAGCATAAAAGTCTTATCTCAAAAAATAATTTTTAAAGCAGACTCTTTAGTCAAATGAATGATAATTAAGTGCAATACTAATTTAATTATATGAGATACTTGAAATTTTTTTAAACGAGTATTCCGAAATCTCATAGAAACTAACTCTACGAGTATTAATCATAAAAACTAAAACTTTCTGGAAACCTATTTTCACCGTTTTCTCGTTTCCTTTCAAATTGAGAGTTTAGAATAAAAAGAAAGAGACAAAACAGTCCAATAGTTTAAATAGGTTTATGAACAAGAAAGTAAATTTGTAAACGTAATTACTCACCTAAGACTACCAAGAGGTGGCGTAGCATACGGTACACCGAGGTATGCTTCGACCTGCGGATGGGAGTGGACAACAATCCCGCGAAGAGGCCCGTACTTCGTGCGCACCACTCGCGTGCTGTATTTGTGCGTAGGCAACGCAGCGGCGCAGCATAGGAGCCACGCGTAGAGCGCGGCACGGTCCGCGCGCATCACGCGCACGAGCCGGGCGCGTGCGCGGGCGCGGTCGCGGTCGCAGGCGACGCGCCGCCGGACACGCGCGCGCCCCTGCGCATCACGCGGCCCGCCGCACGCTCATGCATGCGCGCCGCCCCATATGCCTCCACTTCATCCCGTAACGTCCTCCTCTCGCACACTCCGCCACTGTCATAATACCTAAACATTTACGGACTCAAAGAAATCAAACGAGTGTCCCTATTCATTTACTACCGATAACATACAAAAACACATAAAACAATACTTACCCGAATCATGTTTTTGGAGCACCGAATATACCCGTATATAAATCAACCGCTGGGTTAACCTGAAACAAATTAAAAACATTTAGTAACAAATAAAAGGAAAATAAAATAATTGCTTTGGTTCACCCATAACTACAATATACGAAAGGTAAATTTTCTTCAAATTTCCATTTTAATCAAATATTAACAGAATAAGCCGGGATACGGACAATGGAGTAGGTAACGGAAAATGTTTGCCTAACAGACCTAACCCGACGTTTGTATAATTTAATGTAATACAAACACGACAACAACATCGCATTTCTAAACGAAATTTGCCGTTTTCACAGCGAGCTTTATTCAGTAACGTACCGTCTGTTCTACCTGTAAAGAACGACACCGGCGCACCACCACTATACCGAGACTGATTTTCATTCTAATTAATCGAGTCTGATGATTGTAATTACAATATTTGTAATTGTCAACAGAAACAAGTTTAATATACTTGGTCAAATTCTACCAGTAAAACTGTATATTTTGACATGAGCAACGTGGATCGAAATGCAGTAAAAAATATTTAACCTCTCATACTAACACGACGCGTCCAGCTGGGAGGGTCAGAAACGTTTGTAGATTTTAAATTTTTAATTTACTAACATTTTATTCTAATATATTCTAAGCATGGGTCGATTTTTACTTTTACGTACTTTTGTAGGTATTCAAATAAGTAGGATTTCATTCTGTAAGTACTTTGCCGTAAGAATTCTTATTTTAAAATACCATATATATATATATATATATATATATAATAAAAATAAATAAATAAAGCAATATATGTAAAATAATACCTATCAATCTATATGTATACATCAACTCATTTAATAGAAGTGATAGGCATTGATCCCGAACCTTTGTATTGATATTTAAAGCAAGGCAAAATATTTGACATGTGTCAAATATATTAAAAGGATTTTTGTTGTTGACAGCGATATTTACAGGCACATTTGGATGCGCAAGCGGTCCACAAAGAACGTGGCAGAGCCGAAAGCCATCATCAATCACTCGCATGACAAGCAGAAGCATTGTAATACTTCGCCATTATGGTACCTATACGCACTTTTGATTGCGTCACATTAAAAACGTCTAAATTCATAGATTTTTTATTACGATATCATACAACATTTAAAGCTTTTATGAATTAATCTTATTCGTACTTTTGAGTTCGTTATATTACTAATATCTAAAGATATAATATTTTCTATTAAGATATCACGGAATATTTAAATACGATACGGTTCTATTATACAAAATCTAATTTAACTGATGCAGAATTTTTCATTCATTTATTTGAATTTTTAATATAATTATATAACTGAAGACTGATCCTGTTATTTTATCGTGATCTTTAAAAAAAAATCTTAGAAAGTGAACTGCGCCAACCGTTTTAATTATCGCCATTATTCACAGGAAAATCATTAGGGTTGCCTAAAAATGCGACTTATAAATTATTTCCACTACATTTTGCGACACAGACAATACAATGCTTCAAGAGAATAAAATATTACAAGTTATCGCAGCTCACAAATTTTCCTAGAATAAGTTGACTATTAAAACAGCAATGATTTCATAGTGTAATTTTATATCGTATAGAATAAATTATATAATATTTTTCTACAATGCAGTATGAATTTTAACAGATGGCTGAAAGGAAATTGTTTGACTGATCAACACAATAGGTGTTATTTCGTATGCATATTTAAGGAATAGAAATACAAATACAAAAAGTAACCATTGAAAATAATCAATTATTTTTAAAATATCTTCATTTTAAATCTAAACAGAAAGAATATTCTATTCAATTTGATAATTTCCAGTCCTAAACTAATAGATGTTATCGCTGTCGTATATTTATAAAAGAGGGAGCGGAGCGTGCTTATTTTCTAAATAATGGCCAATTTTAAAGACTCAACAAGCTCAATTTGTTATTGAACAGCTAATATAGAGTAATTGCATCATTGTGCAGCAACTTTTGCTACTCGATTTTCCCAACCAGTCGGTTGCAATTTGTAATATCACTATCGAACTATACTTTGTAATTTACTGTTTAAAGCCCCAGCTCGTTATTTTATACGGTGTTAAAATCTGAACGATGAAAAGCTTCAAAATCAGGAAGAAGGTAACATGTTAATCTTTTTAAGCGTAATCGAGCTACGGATGTCGCCTTCTACTCAAGATAACACGAAGCTATAGCACTGATGGTGATCGATCGCATACCTACTCTACCGCAACCTATAAACGTTATTACCATCTTAAACTTTATGTACAACATTGACACGGTAATGTGCTTAACGTGGCAGGTTAAGGGAACCATATTCCACATACAAAACGATGTAGAAATGTTACGTGAATTTCTAATGATCTTTCGAACAGGTGTTGCCTTCATAATATTACTTAAGTATGTCGATAATAGATGTCATTGCAAATTATAATACCGTTTTACGCTTTATTAAATTTTTAAATAAATATATATGACGAATATACACAATTATGTATTTGATGAGAAATGTATATATATGAAATGAGTACCTATTTTTATGATATGTCACATAATATATACTTAAAATAATTGTCTATGGTTAACTACTAGATAACGCTATAAAATGTCAAGTTTGCATTTTACACTATCTAGGCATATTAAAATTCAATAAATAAATATTTTTTATGCGAAATAAATTTAGGGCCTGTGATATATATACCTTATAATAGTTACTAATTCCAAATATAGAGCACATCTCTTAAGATGTCATCTATATATCTGAATTTGAAATTCTAAATCTGTAGGTCTATACCTAAGAATTTCAACATGTACTAATGCTAAAAAGGAATAAATTTCCGTGGCTCTACTCAGATATTGACTTCACTAACCAGGTAACCAGTTTAAAATTATAAAATAAAATAGAAATTATCTTTATTCAAATAGATTTGTTTACAAGCTCTTTTAAATAGTTATTTTAAAAAATTCTACTGAGTACGAAATATTGTTATCTGATGAAAAAAACCTACAAGAAACTCAACAGTTATTGTTTTTAAATCCTTTAAGTACAAGATAGTTATACATTTGTATGAGTACTGTAATTACAATTAATATTGAGTTCTAATTATATGTATTATGCAATGTAAACTAAACAAGCAAACATGAGCAGAACAGTTCCCACAGGCAACATCCATTCACGATTTACCCAATTTATATCAATACACTACCTATGTGGTAATCAAAATACACATCAATTACAAAACTTGAATTGACATTTACAATGATATAAAATGATTAATATGGTAATGTCAGTAAGTTCATATTGTAATCAAAATGTCAATTTTTATTTCGAATTATAATTAGTAATACAAACATAATACAATATTTTATATATAATTTGCTAAATCTTAATTTTATCAAATTTTTTCATTCATATGATCATCTACCCTGTAATATGCCTTTTTACACAAAGTAATTTTTTTGGAAGATTTAAATATTTTTTCAGGTAAATTTAGGATAGACTTAGACAGGTCTATATTTAAAATCTTACACAATCTCCAAAAAACGAATTAATGACTTTGTTCAGCCGACATACTCGTAGTGGTAGCAGCAATAATTCTGTAAGGTGTAAATTTTCGCAACTGAGAATGTTTGATTCCTTGAAACCGATACAGTCAGACGTTTAATTTATAAATTGAACGTCTGACTGTATCTTTTATTTTGGTTATATTTTTCCGATCGACCTTGAATAACAATCAGCTATCATTTCAACCATGTAAGGCAAATCATTTATGTAAACTAAAAAAGAAAAGGGCCTACTCGTAAAATTGAGCTTTGTACGCCCATATTTACTTTACGCTCTTTTTGATTATGCATCATCAATTTCCACAAAATTGTATTCTACTTTTTAAATACGACTGGATTAAACTTAGTCTTATTTCTAAAGCCATAGTTTAAACAGCAGTGATGATTCACACAATGAAATGCTTTTAAAAAATTATTGAACATCACCAATTGTCACTCATGAGGACAAGAGTTAAATATAATCTACCTTATATTTTTAACGATCTATACATATCAAACTGGAAAAGAATTATTCACGCACTGCCTGCTTCATGACAAAAATAATACAAAGAAATATAACAAAAATCGGACAAGACGAAATCCGCTTATGCTATCGTGATTGCGACAAACAAACATTTCTCTTTCTTTTATCATAAAAATAGTAGCTGCTCTCAATTATTTTTAAACTAGGCTTTCAATTCGCTTGTATTTTTTATTTATATAGGGTACTTAATATCTTTGCCAAATCTAAACTGACTTTAATATTTCTTTTTGAAATTGTTTACTTCCATATTGATTTTACTCGTATATTAATTTTGTCTCTGTGTGTCGGCCTGTGTTTTCAAAGCTTTTTTTTTGCGAAAAAATGTAAATTATGAAAGACGCAGACTATATGTTCTTTAATATATAATAAGTAGATATTTCGTACTCAAATTATTATCATTAGTTTTAGGGAAAGTTTATATTATAATCGAGTATATTACAGTGCATGGTAACGATCATACAACACACATGTAATTGATGTAGCAATTTATTTACAAAAGTTTGTGTCTCTCTCGAATGCGAGAAGTTGTATTACCTAACTCTTGTAACTCGTCGCACAGGTGTTCACCAAGTGTTAATTAATGTATGTACAAGGGAAATTTATATCGTGTTACACATAATGGATAAATACCAAAAGTAATGGTGACAGTAACGCGATGAATCGGTTTCATTACGTGCGAAGTATGCGGTACAAGTAATTCCTTGCAAACATATATTGAGTTTTTATTACTTTTCATCATTTGTTTGTTGAGCTTTTATTGAACTTCTGGTATTATTCGGTTAAATTAACTTTGGAAGCATTTCTTTTTATGGGAATTCATTGTTCGCATATGTACCCTATTATAAATTTTAATTTAAATACACACATACATATACATAAATATATACCTACATTTATGCATATACCTACATATACATACACATATACATACAATATAGATA